TTCTGGGGGTGGAAGCTCTCCTGCAGCCCCCCAATTACTCCCTCTCCCCAGATGGCAGCCTGCGGCAAGTGCAGCCGGGCTGATGGCCGAGTGGTGTGATGTGCCCAGTGTGGGCACTCAGGGCACTCCAAGCCAGAACTTCTTTGCAAGCGGGGCACCCCTTAGAACTGTGTGTCCGGGGTGGGGGTCGGGACCCTTTAAGCGCAGCCCTCGGCTAGCCTGAGACAGCATCTCCACGCTCTAAGTCCTCCTCTGATGCGCTGCCGGCACTGCTTCCGGCCATCCTTAAGCCCTGTTCAGGGTCCACTCAATGTGGACTTGCTAGTTCGAATTAGCAAAACGCTAATTCGAACTAGTTTTTAGTTCTAGACGCGTTAGTTCGAATTAGCTTAGTTCGAATTAACTAATTCGAACTAAGTTAGTTCGAACTAGCGCTGTAGTGTAGACGTACCCTCAGACTTTGACAGGGCCTAGCAAGGCTAATGCCAGCCGTGGTGACCCCATTAAAATGGGGTCCCAACTCACTTTGGGATCCAACCCACAGCTTGAGCACTGCTACATGCGCGAGTTTACATGCACAAAGAAACACCCAGCAGGCAGAGCAGGCTGGTGTGCAAAGGCATCCATTTTTCCAGGTCCGCCCAATTGTCTGAAGCCTCTGGGCATGGGTTCTCATGGGCCCCATGGCCTAGCTGCCACAGCTCCTGAGCTAGATAAGTAAAGCCGGCGTGGGCAGCACTGTGTTGGCAGGAGAGCTTCTCCCACCACTGACATACCTACCATCATTCAAGGAAATGGTTTGATGGTACTGACAGGCGCTCCATCTCAGCACTGAGCATCTTCACCGGACACGCCCAGGGGTGAAGCGGCCCTGCTGTAGCACTTTGATGTAGACTGTCCCACTCAGTTTTATTGTCAGCCCTCTCAGACGTTCCCCGTGTACGTACCCATGACTTCTTACAGCCTGTTGGGACATTAGTTTCAGAACGATATTAATGACCATTGGGATCCTGCCTTCTGTCTGGGATCCCACCTAGCATTCCTTTTGGAGAAATACGATGAAATGGGGGTGCCAAGTGAGGGAGTTTGTCGGGCCTAGCTGAAGTTGCTGTTATAGAACAGTGACCCCTTTGCCACTGTGGGGCTCTTAAGGTCACAACCAGCCTTTGTGAACCTTTCTTAAGCCAAAACAGCTACCAGCTGAGACTTCCTGGCCACTGCACTAAGCACTCTGGCCTGGATTCTCCGGTGTGTTAAGGCTACTCTGCTGGCACAAAGAAATCTTAAACCCATCAGTGGAGTCCCCCAGAGAAGTGGGTGTGATCAGTCAAAGGGGCAAACCTGGAGCCCTGCTGCCAGAATATCCCTGGGAGTGAATTGGAGCAGCCGTGGGGGCTAGGTCAGCCCCTAATTTAAAGCCACCTCCCCGCCCCATCACATTAGCCTCTGGTTGTGGGGCATTTCAGTTGGCCCAGAAAGTCAGGTGCTGGGAGCCCAGCGCAGCCTGTCTCGTGCTCCAGAAGCGGGGTCTTGGTCTGCTGGAGAATGCGAGTGGCAGCTGCCAGATGAAGCTCAGGTCTGTGACCCCTGAGTGCCCAGAGGAGACGAAGAGGGAAATGTGATTAGTGATCTTGATTGCAAACCAGCTCTGCACGTGTGAGAACAATGATGGAAGGGCCATGGGGGATTTTGCAAAGAGGCTATTAACAGGGAAGAAGGAGCAGAAGATTATATTGAAAAACATACTACAGGTTGCAGCTCCCCAGTTTGGCACGCTCTGGTCCAGTGACAGCCATGGTCTGGCATGATTTTAGTTAGCAGGATTTCTACTTATCATCGGTGTGACCACGTTTCTCAATGTCCCAGAAAGTGTGTTTAAAGCCACCAGGTCTGGCTCCCAGTGTTCTGTGCTGTTATTTAGCTCTAATGTACCCCTAAATGTCTTCTAAGAGTCCAGTAAGCAGTGGAAGTGTTGATAATGCTGCTAGACAATATTGACCTCCTGTGAGCTGGGAAATTCTCTGGTTTGGGAGAAAGTCCCAGGGTGCCAGACTAGAGCGGCTCAGAGAAGAGGAGAGGATGTCAGGGGGGATTGAGGGGCACTGGAAGAACAGGGAGTGGGGTACAGGGCTAGGAGGTGGTGCTTCCATGTAGGAAGAGAGGTGAATGGGCAGGAATAGGGCGGGGGAGGCAGTGGGGAGGGAGGCAAGTAGGACTGAAATTGCAGCTTCTTCTTGGCCACTTAGCCAGACCCGGGGAACAGGTAGAGTCTGAAAACTGCAGTGTCTGGTTCCAGATCAGAAGGACATGGAAACTACAAGGAAAACGACATCCTCCATTATCAGAGAGCAATGCTGGAGTTTTCCCTGTAGCAATGTGGGGGGGAAATCTAATCAGGCACAAATCCCTGAATGAAATGTACCTCAGAGGAAGTATCCAGAGAGCCAGTGACATGCTCTAACTGAGGGTTACTCATTCGGGTCACACTGCCTGCAGTGGGGTCAACTACTTCCTGGATGGGCCCCAACTGCCTTCATGTACATGGCTTCCACGGAGTGTCCAGCTCTGGCCTGGGCTGGCCACTGCTGTGGGGAAGGGCTCCCCGATGCCCTCCATGTTACAGCTGGTTTGGTCAGAGAGAGAGAGAAAGAGAGAGAGAGAGAGAGAGAGAGAGAGAGAGAGAGAGAGAATTCCTCACTCAATGACATTTTGTGTTTGGTGTTGGCATATTCCAGATGTAAAATTGCTGTTTCTAGCACGAAGCAATGTTTAGATCAAAATGAAAGTGGAGTATAAGAAAAAAAGAATGTGTATAAATAGTAGCTACAGTCCAAGTGGAATGTTTTGAAATGCTTCACATGCTGTGGTTGACCCGAACTGAATTTCCCCCCTGATTTTTGGTTTGCAAAACTGTTTGAGAGTCCAACATTTCAGCCTAGTCAAAACAGGAAGAAATGTCAAGACCTTGAAGACGTTTGTGCGATGGGAATGCCATTCCCCCCACTCCCGCAAGCTGTACTTTACAGTGTCTTCACAAAGAGGCTGTGCTCTGCCCTGGACAGACTTCATGTTCCCTCCATGCTGAGAACTGCCACACGCACATTGAAGCCTGTCTCAGTGCAAGCTTCCCTGAGCCAGAGACAGGACACTGAGGGAGGTGGCATAGAAGCTCCTTCCCAGTGAGCCTTATGCCCTGTTTCTCCCTTTGCCTCCTCTTTCTTGAACGGTTCTGAAGATGAGTATAACTCCTGCCTGGCCTCCTGGTGGAAGGGCTTTGCCTGTTGCAGGCACTAGCCCGGAGAGCACCTGCTCCTTATTTGCAGACACAAGGCAGCGGTAGCAAAGAGAGGAAGCAGGATAACACCAAGGCAGGGACCCTGCCATTGGCAAGGACCCAAGGAGTCCCCCATTGGCGCTTTCCGGACACGTGTCCTTGCACTATTAATCAATTTAACCTGATAAAATGCAGTGGTTTTAAGCAACTCCAGCACCGGCAAGGGAGAGAGCCAAAGCAGAAAGATTTCAGGCCCAGGATGGGGCCTGTAACTTGACCTGTCCCAGCCAGTGCAGAAGCCCTTGGACTTTAATTTTGGTCCTAAGGGGTGAGGCATGGGCCTTGTTTCAGCCCCTGCAAAGCTACTGCGAGTCTTGGTGCCCCCATTAAAACAGGGTCCCAATCCATTTTGGGTCCCAACCCACAGTTTGGGAACCACTGCACTAGAGAGTTTACACATACGGGCAGGAAGAGTGGGTTGGGGCATAGGGGTGCCCATTTTTCTCTGGCCCCCCAATTGGTTAGGGCACCTGTACATGGGCCCTCATTGGCCCCGTAGCCAATGCACTACTGCCCCTGAGCGACATAAGGTACACCAACCTAAAGCCGCTGTGAGCAGCACCGCCAACATAGCTACTCCCCCTCACAGAGGTGGTTTTACAATACTGACAGGAGCGCCCTCCTCGCACAGAGCATCTTCACCAGACACGCTGCAGTGGTGCAGCTTAGTCTCCAGTACCTGAGTCTCTGTGAGCCCATTTCTTATCACCGCTTCGTGCCACCTCCACCCATTGTTCAGCTGAAAAGCCAGGCGGAGTTTGCATGCTCGGCCTCTGGGAGCCTCCTCTTGGTACGTGCCCCTTGGTCAATCTCTGGGTTTTCCATTGTCCCTGTAGGGCTCCAGCCAGTCCCTAGTGATCTTGGGCCATTCATATCACCCCAGATAGTTCACATGACAAAACACAACAGGTGGTCTCCTGCTTTCCCTATTGGGCAGCTTTTAAACCCTTCTGCAGGAACTGGGTAGCAATACCAAGGTGATAGGGCCGGGGTCATATAACTAGGTACAGACACGTCCCACTTCCATCACAGCTGCACATCCCAGGCCATAGGCACACAAATGTGCATATGCGCCTCAACACATGTGCACACACCCCAGTGCAGGGGCACACAGATATGCACACACCTCAGTGCATGGGCGCACACACAGACCTGCGTACACATCCCAGTCTATGGAGGCACAGATAAGCGCACACCAATGTAACAATGTGAACTGCTATATGGGAGGAGGGGAAAAAAATAACCAGAGGAGCAGCTGATTCCAATTAACCAACCCTCTCAGAGTCTGCTGGGAGGGAGTGAGGTCTGGAGTGTACATAAACCAGACGCAGGAGCCAGGGAGTAAGTGGGAGAGCAGGCAGGTAGGAACAGAGGAGGCACCCAAAGAGACTGTGAGGTGGAAGGAATTGCCAAGGGAAAAGCAAAGCATGGGGAGAAAGGTATTGAATTTGTGGAGAGCGGGGCATAGGCTGGGGCCTGTTGCGTTAAGAAACTGTGGACTTGTAAAAGTGAGCAGTTTTATGAGGGAAGTGGGGCTAGTGACTTGAGTGTAGATGATACCAAACCAAATATGGATTTACCACCCTTTTTCTAAGTACTCCTATATGCTCCCTTCTCCATGGGCCAGGATCTCTTCCCCCAGTCTCCAGTGGTCAGCTTATCCTGTCCCTCCAGGCTATGGTTTGGTATTTGGAGCTGTGGAATAGCTGGAGGGCCAAGTCACTGTTGTGATTCTTTGCCAAACTCCCTGGGATTGGTTCACAACCCCAGCACATAGGCACACGGAGGTCCACACACTTCCTTTGCCTTCTGTCATGGCACCAATGTTCTGTGCTATGCCCTAGCTTTCTAACAATCCCTTGGAAGGGTCTCTCCAAGTGCCAGACCTCCCAGGGGCCATACTTTTCCTTATGAGTAGGACATGTAGCCTCTGCACCTCCAAGACAGAGCCTCTGAGATCCAACACTCTTTTCTCATCCCGGAGCTCTGCCCACCAAATCCAGCGGAGAAGATAGATGCATGGTCAAAGACTTTTCCCTTCTTCAGGAACCAGTGCAGCCCAGCAAGTATTTGAAGTGACACCAGGGAGCTTTTCAGAACAGAGCAGAGTTTATGGGGCTACTGGATCAAGTATTGGGTGAGCACAAAGTAGAATAAGTTCAGGCAAAGTTCCTTGTGGCCAAATCCAGGGCTCCCTTGTGCCAGGTTGCTAGGATCCATCTTGGTTTCCTTTTTCTGTGTCTGTTCCCTTGTCCAGGACAGCTCTCTCTCTCTCGCTATGAGCCCAGTTCTGTCTTACCACCGTCTCCTGTCATCATCTCTTTCCATTGTCCTGCTAGGATCAGTCAATTGTTCAGTCACTGGGGTTTCCATTGTCTCACTATCATCTTCCACTGAGATGGAGTGGTCCCAGCCAGTCCTGAGGAGCCCATTCATATCACCACATGTAGCTACATGACAGAACAGTGCCTGGCTCCAGCTATTTATCCTCAGTCCATAGCAGTACTGACCACAGCAGGAACCCAAGGCACACATTGGCACCATACAAATCTTACCAAAATTGTCACATTTCTTGGACCTTCCTCCAGCCTTCCAGGAAGCAGGTGCACTCACTGACACACACAGGCTGGATAAAGAGCAGCACCTGCATACATTTGAAAGAGTCAGATTCCTTGCTGGCTTCCCCAGGGGCCCTGCCAGCCACCACTCTGCTTTGACAGGGCTATTGACATCACAAAAGAAGCTGTCCCATCACACAAGCCCAGTGCAAAACAAAAGCTCCCAGAATGAGGAATTTATTAGGAACCTCCAAAAACAGGCAGTGCCAGAGGAGCCCAGGAGTTTAGGAGAGGGGCACTATGAGCAGCAGCTCTGTGCCTTCCCCTCCATTCCCCTCCCCTCCTTTCCTTCCCCTCCATCTCTCCTTTCCCTGCCCACCTCCCTGTTTCTTCTCACTCCTGCAGGAGCCATCAGGCCTTGCCCAGGCACAGCCTGCCTGGGCCCTGTCTCTGTGCATAAAGATGGCCCAGCCTATATATCTCTCCTGATGAACTTGCTGTCGTTGGGAATGGGGTCCCCCCCTTGCCCTGGTAAGCAGAGTCACAGAGAGAACAATTATCCATGATGACCCACTGCGGTAATAATAGCCGGTAAAATAGAGATGGTTACTTATCAATGCAAATGGCAAATCAATACCCCACAGAGCCAGGTGCCCAGCTGCAGGGAGTCCGTCCGGAGGAGATGGGAGCTAGCAGAAGTAGGGAGAGCAATGCTCCATGTCAGCAAGTAACCCATAACTTTCATCACTCACCCTCAACTTGCACCCACATACTCTGCTGAGGCAGCTGGGAAAGCCCGGCCCTGTGTTAGTTCACTCCTTGTGATCTCCCACAGGTTGACCTAGAGAGGACAGGGGAAGAAAGTCACCTGTCCATGCACGACTCAGTCCTTTTCAGGCAGACGCCATGGCCCACATTCCAGATTGAAGATTTGCACACATTTACACACTCCCCTCCCCCCAATGAAACGCACCCATACACCAACACAACAGACTCACATCCCCGCATCCATCCCAGCTCCACTCTGCCCACATCTACCTGAATAGCCTTTCCCAGACAGGCTGGCTAACTACTCTTTGTGTGTTACTCCAGGAGCTAACATTTGAAATAGAGACACAGCCAAAGGTCATATCTTCATGTACAAAAATGACACATGCACATGAATAGTATAAACAGAATCAGCAACTCATAAGCTTTCAATGGTCATCTCACTTGGCCCAATTTGTGCAAGATTTGGTGCAAACATATAAGAGGGGTTGCAAGAATGACCTGCAAAGACATATCATACTCCAACAGCATCACAGACATATCCTAGCCTAGTGAGTGGAGGCTTATCAAGCGCTCTGAAAAATGTGTGACCTCTTATAAATGCTAAGAAAGGAGAAAAGAGGGGCTCTGGGCATGACAGAAGTGAGAGACAGCCCTTCCCCCTTCCCTGGTGGACTACCTGGGGACTCTGGAGGTTGAAGGGTAGACAGCCCCCTGGTAGTGTGAGACACAAGGAACTTTGGGAGTTGGAGGCATGGGGAGACTCATGCTTGTGCAGGGAGGACTCTGGGCGGGAGAGGAAGAGACACAACTTGACAGGGGGATTAAATGAAGTACAAAGATAGCATGGGGGGGCTTCTGCCATGGGCCCTAAGCCTGGCCCAGTCCCCTCAACATGTGATTCAGTGTGAATTGGGGCAGATGTAGACAGCATGGCATCAGAACTCCTCTGTCGTGCATTGTGGATGCTTGGGGCCATTCTTCCCATCTTACCACCCAATCGATAGGAGATGGGCAAATTCATTGCTAATGGCCAAACCACCCTCCCCCCACACCCCACCCATCCATGGCATCCGAGGGGCAGGGCAGACTTTCCACTGGCAATAGAGTCAAGACTCATCTGGAATCATTTGTCTGAACCTCCGTAGACCAGCTAACATATGGGACATGGATCCTCACCCTGTATGGCCCAGCCTTGTTCTTCCAGGCCTTCTGTTCACATGGTGACTGAATTAAGTGGGGGAGGCCTTAGACTCTCCTTATCCTTCCCCTTCCCATTGTCTGCCTGGTTGTGGCTCACATACATCATATGGCAACAAAAGTGTGTCCACCAAGGACTTCCCAGTTGTCACTATGTGACCCACAGCATCATGGTGGCAGCATGGACAGATCTCCAGCTCCAAAAGCACAGGCCCCTGCCATTTGATCTGAAGGAAAATCACCTTTATCTGTTAGCAACTGAAGGCCTGTGGCACACAGGAGAGGTGCTCTGAGCCCCGCCAGCCGTAACACACATGCACCAGCCATTATACTGACCCCTGCTGAGCCAGAAGCCTTACGGGTCACTTTCACCTGCCTGCTCTCAGATGTCCCACCTGCCTCTGTCTCCCCCATCCCCTTTTAGTATCGTACAGCTCCAGAGGATGCCTCTTTGTTGTCCTGATTTCCTCAGTGCGCTGCAGACCGCCTCGTGAGGCCCCTTCCTCACCCGCCTTGCTTCCTTAGCAGTAAGTGGTCCACAAGCCTGTAGGAAAGAGATCTTTACTGAGCAGCGTGAACAATCCCTGTAGGTGTCTCTATCTATGGTGGGAATAGGTCTGGTGGTATATTTATTGCTTTGGCAACACAGGCCTTCCTTTAGGGTTAACTTGCACGCCCCCTGGCAGTGCATTCTGAACACCCATTGCCCAGAAAGTCCCCGTTGTTGTTCTCTTTCCAGCTTCTTTCGCGCACTCCCCTCCCTTTCCCCCATGCCTCTCTCTGCTGGGCTTTGCTTCCCAGAGCAATCCAAATGTATGTTCTCAACTCCACTGCCCTGACAGATGTTAATTACCTCCCTGATATGCCTGGGTACAGAGCTCTGGCCTGCTTCCTCCTTTTGAAATATTGACTCCAACCTTCGCCTCTTCCCCCACACCATACATCGTGTCCCCCCTCCCCCCTTGTCCCGCCCCTGCCTTGCCTTGCACCAGCTGTGTTATCAATTACTGCCTTATCCATCCTTTCTTTTAAAAATTTCTTTTTCATCTTTCAGAAGGTTTTCTCTTTATGTTTTTGTTTCCTTCATGGGGAGGGGGAGGGGAGAGACAGCCTTGGGGGAGGGGACCCCAGCCCATCTAGAAATACAAAGGCTGTTTATCTCTTGCACAGTTTTTAATTGGCTGCATTCTGGCACATCAGCCCTTTTCTCAGTGATGAAACGGAGCTTTGCCGCTCCTTTCTGTAAGGAAAGATGGCAAAGGCAGAGCCTCCTCTTCTAAGGAGGGGAGGAGGGGGAGTCAAGATGATTCCGCCTGTAAGATATAGAGACAGCGACTCCAGCTGGCGACTCCTACCGCATTGTTGCCAGCTCTTTGACACCCTCTTGGCTGTTAGACTCCTCGCATCAGGTGTTAACTCTGGAATGGACGTACAACTTGTTAATGGGACTGCCGGGGTCAGATGCTGCTTGGACTCCCCATGGGGTGAAACCCTTGGTCTTCTGTGCTGCAAGTAAGAGCCTTTACTGCTTGAGCGAAACAACGGAGCCCCAGTGGCCATGGCAGTATTGGAGCCACAACACTCTTTTATGGACCAGCCACTAGAGGGTGACAAAGCCCTGCCTGCTCCCAGAAGCATGGGAATTTCCTGGCTTCCCATGGGAATTCTGGGCCTGCTGATACTCTGCTCAATTCCTGGAGCAAAGATGTAGGGGAGGTGCCCTCCTAGCTCACCTGTCACAGGGTTATGTGTGCATGAGACTGCGGCTCAGCTAATGAAATGTGGAGCTGGATACATGGGCTAACCCCCATGGGTGTGGGCCCACTGATAGTGTGAAGTGCCCTGGAAGGATGTCTGGCTGCCCAGTGTCCAGCATAAGGGGGGGGGTCTTCCCTGTGCTAGGGTTGCCAACCCTCCAGGATTGTCCTGGAGATTCTCTGGGAAAGAAAGCTTCATCTTTAATTAAAGCTTATGTCCTGTGACGAGAACTCGAGGCATATGTCCATCCAAAATTGGCCACCCTACCAGTGTCAGAGATTGGTCCCTAATCCCTGCTTGACTGCCACACCAGGTACAGAGGCCATCCAAAGGACATAGGCATGTGAGGCAAAGCCCTTGCACCTAGCCTCAGTTGGTGGGCGTTTGGCGTCTCCTCTTTCACAGGGGCACAGCAAATGCCCTCTCGTCTCAGCAGCAGAAAGTATAAAACCCCTAGCAAGACTTATGAACGTAGAGTCTGCTCCCAGTCCCATTGCTGCGCAGGGAGAAACTCTCGTTGGGGAACGGCAGAATCAGGGCCTCCTTTTGTCTTGATGGTACATCCGGATTTGTCTGCTGTGGGAAGCAAATGGTCAGAATAGTGGGAAGATCGGATTCTGTGGTCAGCCAGGACAGAGAAGGGAGCAGGACAAGGGGGCTGTCTTTGAGTAAAAAGGGTTCAGGCCTGTGCCTGCTGGAGTGAGTTTCCATTGGATGGGAGATGGGCACCAGATTGTGACAGAGGGCCCAAGCCCTCACTGGTTTCTAGCAAGCAAAGGGTTAACCCGTGAGTCTGTGGGAAGCAAGGAAGTGGTCTGCAGCCTGAAGATGCAGCCAGGCTCTGAGAGGGGTTGCAGAAAGCAGTTCTTGGGAGCCAGAAGGAGAGGGTGCTGGGAGGGGGTGGGACTTCACACCTTGTGGGAACAGGGCTGGGGTGTTTGTATCAGACCATCTTGTCTGGTTTTCATTCCGGTGGCGGGTGCGCTCTGAAAACAAACAAAACGTCAAGGAAGGAACTTGAAGAGCGAAAGACTGGGGTTTTTTCATTGCTAAGCCATCTGTTCTGCTCCAACAGCTCACTGAGGGCTATGAGGATATGTGTGTGTGTGTGTGTCTGCGTGGGGGGATCTAGCTGGGTGGAGTGGGGGTGGATATGGGGATGTAAGTCTGTTTGTGCTGATGAGGGTACATGTCCTTGTGTGTGGGGGGTGTGTGTGTGTCTGTGTAAATGTATGCAAGTCCTTGTGTGGAGGGACTGGGTATACATGCAGGTATATGAGGGTGCACAGCAGGCCCTAGGACAAGGCGGGGGATGGCTCCATACCCCCAGAAAGCGTGGGGCCTTGGGTGGAAGATACAGGCAGGGTGCACAGCAGGCCCTAGGACAAGGTGGGGGATAGCTCTATACCCCCAGAAAGCGTGGGGTCTTGGGTGGAAGATACAGGGCTGAGGGCAGCCAGCTCTACCTCCTGCAGCCCTCAGAGCTGCACAGCACACTGGTGCTCCAGTAGCAATTTAAAGGGGCAAGGGCTCTGGCTGCTGCAGCTACAGTAGCAGTAATAGCAATGGCAGCCAGGAGCCCTGCGCCCCTTTGAAGTGCCGGGCCCCGGGAGAACTGCCCCATTTGTCTCCCCTCCCCCAGTGGCAGGCCTGACGGTGCATGCCTGCGAGAAGATGCATGTGTAAGCGGGCTTGTGTGTATGTGGGTGATATATGGGTGCAGGGTTGTATGTCTGCCGGTGATGTTAGTAGCTGGTGTGTGCATGGAGGGGTGTGAGTAGATGAGTGATGTGGCTGCCTGGCCATGGGTATGTGGCTGTGGGTGCAGATGGGGTTGTGTGGATGGTACAAGTCTGCAGATGGAGCTGGTGCATATGTTTTGGGGCATGCGTGTACGCTTGCATGGGGTATGCTTTCGGGGGATGTTGATGAGTGTACTTTGGGGTGTGGGCCATGGGCACTATGTCATATTGGCTAGTTGGTGGGTGAGAGCCTTGCCTTCCGCTCCCAACAGCATCGCCTCCCCCTTGCCTCTGACATTCAGCCACGCATCCCCTGTAGCTGGCTAGTGTGCTAATGATGGAAGATGGTGACAGGGAACGACCTCTGCATATCAATTCCCCCAAAGCAGGCTGTGCCGCCCCCTGGTCCCCCCCGCTGCCACCCCTACTCTCATTCTCTCCCGCTCTTGCCAGCCTAAGCTGGTTGCCATAGCAGCTGCCGACTCGCTGGGCCCAACCTCTGGGGAGAAAAGCTGCAGCTGAGCCGTGCTCCCTGGCAGGCCCAGAAGGAAGAGGGCTGCAGCAGGGCCATATTGGTGCTTCCTGGAATACCCATCCAGCACCTCCATCTGGACTCAGCCCTCCCCAGAGGAGAGGCCAAACATCTCCGGAGCTGCCACCCCAAAGCTATCCTGGGTGAGCTCTCTCTCTTGGGCTGCTGATGCAGGAGGCCAAGTGCTTCCCTCGGAGTCAGTATTGAACCAGCATCACAGCATAATGCTCAGGGGATACTGGGTCACCATCTCTCAGAGGAGGGTTAAAACCAACGTCCTGACCATGTGCGATCTCTAAAGAGCTCACTTTCTCACTGCTCAACCCTTCTGTACTGGCCACCTTCCAGTGTGGGTGATTGCATCCTGCCAACCCATCTTCCCCCTGCAGTTGTCACAAGAGGAGACATTTTTCACTTTGTCGCCTGTGTCACACTTTTGTGGTGCAAACTGACTGCCAAATTCCACCCCAGAAGCAGCTGCATTTCAGGTTGGGATGAAGGGTCTCTCTGTCTGTACATACGTATTCTATAAAGCACAGTGCATGGAATGAATAAGTGTCAAATACTGGTATCTTTCTGGGATGATAGCTAAGGTGCCATGTGTTGTATTGTTTGCATTGTAAGTTGCGATACTGTCTCCTCTGAGGCCACTGTTGTTTGGCCTGAGGCACAGCCATTATGCAATACTATCACAATGCATTATGTGAACACAGGTCTCTCTAATGGCCCATGTTCATGGGACAGAGGACATTTATAACATTAATGGGATCATAGGATCGGAAGGGACCTTGAGAGGTGATCTAGTCCATTTGCCTGCACTCATGGAGAACTAAGTATTATTCTAGACCATCCCTGACAGGTGTTTGTCTAACCTGCTCTTAAAAATCTCCACTGACAGAGGTTCCACAAATTCCCTAGGCAATTTATTCCAATGTTTAACCACTCTGACAGCAATTTTTTCCTAATGTCCAACCTAAACTTCCCTCGCTGCAATTGACTTGTCCTAGTCTCACAGGTTAATGAGAACACATTTTTCTCCCTCATCCTTCTAACAACTTGTATGTTCTTGAAAACTGTTGTCAGGTCCCCTCTCAGTCTTCTCTTCCCCAAGACTAAACAAAACTAGTGTTTTCAATCTTCCCTCATGGGACATATTTTCTAGAGACTTTTAATCATTTTTGTTGCTCTTCTCTGGACTTTCACCAGTTTGTCCACATCTTTCCTGAAATGTGCTTCCTGCCCCCTGAACTGGGCACCATACTCCACTTGAGGCCTAATCAGCCTACTACGGTCCTGTGACCTTCAGGTGAAGTGGCAACCCAACTGCATGGGATCAGGAGACATGCCTTCAATTTCCAGCTCGGTTAGAGACTTAGTGGCTGATTGAACAAGTCACATTGTTTGTGTGCCTCTGTCCTTTATCTTTAGGCACAACTATATTGGGGCTGGAGGTGTCATGTCCATATGGAGGACCAGGAGGAGACATACTAGCTCAGATCAAGCTAGAGTGCTAATAATAGTGCAGCAGCATGAGCACCAGGAGGGCCTAACTACCTGAATGCTTAAGTAGGGCCTTAGGTGGGATCACACTCAGGGTGGTTAGCACCTTGCACCACTATGATGCCGTTTCTATTTTTAGCACAATAGCTTGATCAGCACTAGCATGGGTATGTTTACACAAGCTGAAAGTTACACCTCCTGGCTCAAGTGTAAACATATCCCAAACCATGGGGATGCATCCTATGTTCTACCCTCTGTAAGCTCTTTGAAGCAAGGGCCATCTGTGACTCTATATGTACAGTTCCTAGCACAGTGGGGCCCTGACTTCAGATGAGGCTTTTAGGCCCTACTGGAATTATTATTAATAATAATGAATATGCCACAAAAAGGGGAACCATTGGCTGGAAACCAGACATATCCCACTATGGCCCCTGCCACATGGAGGTTAACATGGCTTCCAAGCTTTCAGTTTTCTCATATCAGGACATCCAGAGGGACCTTGACAGACTAGCCCAAAAGCCATGCTCTTACGGGCAGAGCTCCTAGGAACCTAGTCAGAATAATGGAAGGGGGCAGCAATCAATGGAGTTAATGGGAACCTTATCGACTTTCTTGTCTGAGAGAGGACAACACAATTTGATTCCAAGGAAGCCAATGAGAAAGAAGTGGGTTCTATTAAGATGAGGTGGGGCGGGGATGTGCATGTGTGAATCCAAGAGAGGAAGGAGAAGTTGAAAGGGAGATGGGGGACATGAATAGAGAGAAACAGATAGAAAACTGGGGAAGGCGAGGAATGAGCAAGCATCTTATTGACACCTTGCTTAACTGGAAGCTGTTGCATCCTCCCCATTTTTAGGTGGCTTTTAAGAGAATCCGATTGGGATTTATTAGAAAATAAAAACCCTCTAATTGAAAGCGAGTGGAGGCAATTTGTATTAATAATAGCAGAAATCGTCAAATAATGGAATTGTTTAAAATCTATTACTTTGCTCCGCGCAGGAAGAGGAAGGGGATGATTATCTCACCATACAGCATGTTAGAAGGAGAGCCCAGCCCGCTGGTCCCCTGTGCAGATTAAAAGATGTAATTTATTGAAGCAATTTATTTTCTGGCGGGAAGTGGGGGCTGGGGGAGGAATGGGAAAATATGATAAGAGCTGCAATCAAGTCTCAGATTCTTAATTTGAAGACCTGCTTCTTATCAGCGTTGTCTCAATCATAAAAGAATGTATTCATTCCTCAAATGGGGTGAAAGCTGCAGCAAGAGACAGAGGCTGGGCAAGGAGGAGATCCCATGAGGAGGCCCATTACTCACCTCTCGGATTTGTGTTATCCACTGGAGTCACTGCAAATCCAGGGCAAATCCCACCTTGTTCTGCCGGGCACAACAGCAGGTAATGGTTGCAGATCAGAGCTGAGGTGTCATCTATTTATGTCTGTCTGGGGCCAAAATCAGCATATTGCTAAGCTTGATGTGAATTCAGGGCTGTTTAAGGTTTATCTGTCAATCTACCTGGTTGTCATTACTCTACCTGATCACTGTAATAGCTAAGCACTCACTGGCCCTGTGACTTGACTTTGTAGAGAAGGGACCCACCGGTCATTGTTGGGTGGTAACTCCAGCCAACAGTCTCTTGCTACATGCACATAGAAACATGTTAGAAGGGACCACAAGGGTCATCTAGTCTATCCCCCTGCAAAGATGCAGGATTTGTTGTGTCTAAACCATCTAAGACAGACGCTATTCAGTTGCTTCCACAACCTCCCCAAGGAGGTTCCTAACTGTTCTCACTGTTAGGAAGTTTTCCCTGAGAGTTAATCTAAATCTTCTATGCTGTAGTGTGAACCCACTGCCTCTTGTCCTTCCCTCTGTGGCAAGAGAACAACTTTTCTGCATCTTTTTTATGGCAGCCTTTCAAGTATTGAAGACAGCTAACATGTTGCCCTCAATCTCCTCTTTTCCAAACTAAACCTACCGAGTTCCTTCAGCCTTTGCTGACAGGGCCTGCATTCCACCTCTTTTATCATCTTTGTTGCTCACTTCTGGCTCCTTTCCGGTTTCTCTCCATCCTTTCTATACATTGGTGACCAAAACTGGACATGGTACTCCAGCTGAGGCCTAACCAGCTCTGAGTAGAGCAGTATTATCACCTTCTGTGACTTTCATGCTATGCCTATTAAGGCAACCAAAAATTGCATTTGCTTTTTCTGCACCAGCATCATATTGCTGACTCATGTTGAGGTTTACATAATATTAATGAGATAGCCAGAACTAGATCCCCCCTGCTCCCCATTCCCTTATTGCCTGCCCAAGTTCGCCACTCCTTCAATCCTGCCACTATCATAACCTGACACCCAGGGCTGTCCCTAGGTGGACGTGGGGCCCAGGCAACTCCTCTTCCCCAAGCTCCGCCCTCACTCTACCCCTTCCCCAAGCCTTGCTCCAGCTCCACCCCCACCCTGCCTCTTCCTGTCCCTGCTCTGCCACTTTCTGCCCCCCCAGCATCCTTTCCCTGAGCTACGTGACCCAGGAGATTACAAGAGGGCCTAGCAGGAGGCAGCTGCAGGAGTCAGCTCACTTGCCCCGTACTCACCCTGGCGGCAGGAGCCCGGGAAGCGGAGCGATGCGTGCAGCAGCCTGTGCCGCTCTACTACTGTCTCCCAGCTGGGTTGCTCCGCTTCACCATGGTGACAGGACACGGAGTGAACTGGCCTTGGAGCCCTGCATCACCCGGGGGAGCAGAACAGGCCAGGCTGGGGCACGCCTCTTCCCGTTGCCATGGTGAAATGGAACCACCCAGCTGGGAGATGGCAGTGGAGCGGTACAGGCTGCTTTGTGCATTGCTCTCCTTCCTGGGCTGCTGCCACTGTGGTGAGTGCAAGGGAGCCAACCTCTGCTGCTGCCCCATGCCAGCCTCTGCCCAGGAATCCCCCAGCCTGCCACGGGCCCTGCAGGTACTATGGATATGGGGTACTGTCCCATCCAGAGAACAGTTTGGGTGGTCGCTGCAGAGCTCCCCAAAGTGCAGCCCCAAACTGTTCTGGGGTGGTCGCTGCAGAGCTCCCCAAAGTGCAGGGCCCGGGGTAGCAGCCCCAAACTGTTCTATGGATGGGATGGATCTGCTGACACCCCAAGCTTCATCTATCCCACAGATGAAGTTGTTGTTCTACACACACCATCTGGATCCAGTATCCCCGAGCTGCCAGACTGCCCCCCAGGTGCTGTCTCCTGTGCTCCAGGATGGCCCTCAGCTCCCATATCAGCTTGAGCTGGCCAGCACTGTGTGCTCATAACAACATCATAGCATGAAGTGCTGCCACACAGCCATTTGCCGCTAGAGCTCATCACCCCACAAACATCGTACCCTGATGTTCTTAAGTCCTTGTTTTACCACCAAATGCCACCTTCCAGAGTGTGCCAGACCTTTAGAGCCCACTGAGTGGGTGGAGAGAGCATGCAAAGGGGAAAGGGTGTGTGTGGATAATTTGGATTCACTTAAAAATATCCTTGCTATGGATGAGATGCAACATGCAAGCAGGAGCAAGAGGCACGAGTGCTTACAGAAATATTGGGTGAGGCCTGGGATTCCTCAAACTGGTCCCCTCTCTCCACTGAATTCTGCCCATCCATGGCTATAAGGTACACAACTGCTCTCTGGTGTGTCATTGAGTCACTGCATCATTGTCGTTTCTTCAGACGGGAAGGCCAGGCCAGGATGGGAGGATGTTAGCATGGGAATGGCTGCGGCAAACCCTGGTGCAGTCACTTCTGGGGAGTGGCAGATGTTTTGCTTTTTGGTACCTGGACACCGAGGTGATGGGAGACAGTGTGATGGGTGCTGAACAGATCACATTCTAGGCTCCTGTAGGTTAGATAGCCTGGCCACACAGACACAATAGACAGCCATATAACAGATCACACTAGGGAGGGAATAGTGTAAAGCTGATTGGTTAATGCTATAGACTACATGCATTTCTGCCCTCCACCAGCAATTTTTTTAGCAGACTGGCCAGCCGCCTGGCTCAATCCTGGCTTGCACCAGGTCCGGGACTTACCCCTGCTGCAGCTCTGCATTTAAAGTGTATTAGGATCTGAGAGGGCAGGCAGCCTGGCTCAGTTCTGCTTGTGCTGGGTCCGGGAGCTCAGACCCCTCCCCTCCCCAGGATAGGGGATGCTGCCACCCCAAGCTGCTGCCTCTATCAGAGGCAGCAGCATGGGGCAACAGGCAGCCGGTCCTCAAGAGAAGCTGGTTTTTAAATTGGCTTCCCTTATGGACTAGCTCCCGCCTGGCACCTCAAGCTGCTGCCTCTTATACAGAGGCAGCAGTGCAGAATAGCAGGAGACTCCTCAGGAGTGAGGCCGGAGTGCACTGGCTGCTGGTCCCACCTCTGGGGACTATAGAATAGTTGAGTAACCAATAAGAATTCATGAGGTGAATCAACTATTCAATTAACCGATATTTAACATCCCTAGATCACACTGCATTAAGAGATCACTGAGTCACAAATTTATGGTAGTGTTCATGCCTTAGTGGCTTTTCACAAGCAAGAAAGAAATCTTGTTAAAGTACCCGAGTCTCCTTTGTCTCTGAAATCTGCTGGCAAGCCCCTATCTTCATAGTCTGTCCCAGGTCTCAGGACAGCTGACCAGGCTGTGTCGCAACTGAGCAGCAAGATGGGAAGACACGTGCCTGGCACAATGGGTCTGATCCAGTTCACCGCAGCAGCACAAAAAGTCAACAGCCAGAGTGGCACTCTGGTGGGCTCCCTCTAGTTTTGCAGGCGTCCATTGCATCTTGCAAGAGGGGGCTGAGAAAAGCAAGCAGGAAGGGGCCGTCCATAACTAGAAGGGCCCAGCAGGAGAACAAATGAAAGGGGTATTAATCTCATCCCATGCTGAGAAGAGAAACAGAGCCCAGCAGCTGCTGTCCCTCAAGGACAGAGTCACTTGTCCACCTTTTCTCTGCCTTTGACAGGCACTTGACTCACTGGAGCTGTATGCTGCTGTGAGTGTGTGTTTGCAGGTATTGGCCTTCCCCCGCTTTCTTAGGGACCCCCGGTGGTAAATGAGCATGTTTGTGTGCATATGTGTAGGGGAGGGATCAGGGACCCTTTTCCCTTCCCACGGTAGTGTGTGAAATAAAGGCCGGGTTGATCACTCAGGTAATTTCCTCCTTTCTTAACATGTTCCCTTTGCTTCAAAACATTTCATCCTTGATTTTTCCTCCCTTGTGGTTATTGTTACATTTTGAATGAATTATGAGGACTTTTGAAAAAACAGAGTTGGTGAGCGGGGATGTGGGTCTGTTATTATTATGATTCCATTAGTGGTATTGGTTGGGGGTGTGGTAGAGGCCTAAAGCGGGAAACAGGCCAGTTTGCTGGCTGAGATTGGAAACTGTCTGGCAGGGGACCACGTACTTTTCCCACCACACCCACCCATAGTGCCAGGCGAACAAAACAACACAGTCAAGCAAGGAGCCAGCAGAGTTTGGAAAAGTTTTCAGAAGCTTCCCTCCCCTCCCTGCCGCAGCTTTCTGCTATTCTATTCCCTGGCCATCATGCACCTCGTTTTACCCCAGCCTTCAGTTTCCTCTCCTGTTCTAGTCCTTGGCTCCCAATACAGCCCTGCCAGTGACTCTGAATACTGACCTGCAGCATCTCCTGCTATTTGCTCTTCCACTGTACGTCAGCTGTGATCTACGCTGGGAGGCATGGGATATGAGAATCAGCTGGCGGAAAGACGGTGACACTTCTTCCCCAGACTGAAATTTAGATTAATTTGAGGGCAACACCTAGAGTGGGGGTGTAGTTTCCTTCTGTATAGAAAATCTGGAGCGGTTGACTTCTCCATAGCAGTGAAGCTGACTCTCTGACAAGCTATTAAGTTCCTTTCAGAAGGGCACTGACTCAAGAACATGCACAATTCTACATCTAGCGCCAGCAATGGAGTGACTGACAGCTTCCCTGATTGAAATTGCATCAAAGGCTCCTCAGCAGCAGAAAGCAGGGGGCGCGTGGTTAGGGGGTAGGGGAGCAACCTGCCTGGGGCTCAGGCTTGGACTTCACAAGAGGCTTTAAACCGGTTATCAGATCCCAGGCAACCAAGCCTTTGGAAGGGTTTTCCCAGGAGACGGCATGAAGAATGCTGTACAGATGGTTTGCAGCCTGTGAGTCTCTGCCTGGCTCTCAGACACACGTGCACTAATCTCCCAGTGATCATCTTATCTGTGAAATAATTCATTGGTGCTTTGGCGACAGGGCCAGCATGGGAACCAATATCCTTCAGGGCCTTAGCCTGGGGTTCACTCAACTTAATGTGATTGTGCATCTAGTCTCATGCACCAAATTGTGAGTGCATGTTAGAGTCTCTCTCCATCCAAGTAGGCACATCTTCCTGTATTAAACACAGGCTCACACATGCCCTGGATTTCTGGTTCATGCAACCCTGTGTGTGTGCTGCTGTTGCAAATACACCCTGCCACACACACGTACCCCGGTATGGCAGTGGCACACACAAGCATACTGAATTCACAAATACACTCCCATGTCCTTTTAGTCTGATGTCACACATAGATGCATGTATTATCATGCATGTATTGCAGGGGTGGGGAACCTAAGCCCCGGGGTCTGGATATAGCCCTTGAGTTGTCTGGATCTGGCCTCCGAGGCTTAGGGCCTTGCAGGCATTGGGGAGCCTGCACTGGCACTCCAGCCTCTCCCCCTCCCCCCCGCTCCACTGCCTCCCCTCAGCCCCCAGCCCTGGACTGATTTTTCCGTGGCTCAGTGGCCCCGACCCAACAAAAGGTTCCTCACCCCGATGTATTGTATCACACATAGGCATGCCTGTGCCCATGCTCCATAATGCCTCACAAACTGACATACACATACATGTTCTGCTACTTCACATGTGTATAGTAGCATGCAGATGCATATATCCTGGTATTACAAATACACAGTATTGACAAGTACAGACACTGCTGCATCCCACACACTGACACACACATATGTTTCGCTATGCGACAGACAAGCATGTGCATATTTTCTGTCATCATACATGCAGCCACATGCTCAGTAACTTATTTCTATATTTCACAGAGGCCTCTGCACATGAGTTCAACAGCCAAATATGTGCTGCCTCCGTTACTGACTATAGGCATGTGCTTGCCCATCTCAAATGCCTACATACACTAACACGGCCATTCTGCTTTATCTTCCCCAGTGATACAGGCACACATTCTATATTGCTTCCTGTACCCCCTATAACCATGCACACTGGCACATGCATTCTACTGGGGCACACACGCTGTTGTGAGCACGCATGCACACACACTTTAACATGCATGTCTCTTGTGCCACACACACAGAGGAGGCCTTGCATTCAAAAGTCCGAAGCACCTGCTACTCCAGGCAGCTGAAGTCAATGGGAATTGTGGGTGTCCAGCATGCTGAGAAATTATTCCCATTTCTTATCAACACTGGCAATCCAGTGCTCCCTCCTTATACTGCACTCATGTGCTGACAGCTGTGTTTACTTCTGAATCTCAGTCTCTTTCTGCCACACCTACTTCCTCTCCTGTTGCATATACAAGCATGGCCACATACTTACATATAGTCCTGTATCACATACTCTGACACATTCCTGTTCAACCATGTACAAGCACTGACCCACACACGCCTTCCTCACTGTCACACAGACATGCAGTGCTCTGCACACAGTCCTTCTGCAC